CCAAGTTCTAGCATCGTGGACACAGGCCTTTACGGATACAAAAAATCGATAGCTGTATGAATTGGTATACAACTTGACATATTACTCTGTGAACGATAGAAATCAAAATATGAAACTGAAAGAGTAATATAAGTATATTTTTTAACAATTCAAAAGAATTTGTATTTTCATTTCACGTATTTTACACCGTAAATACGTTTTGCAAATGGAAACTATTATGACTGGAGGAAATCTTATAAGTCGCCAGAAGTAATTAAAACTTCAGAAGATTACTTGACCATGTCTGGCAAATTTTTATGTTTAAACTCACAACGTTTCGACCATGGTTTGTGGTCGAAATTGCTTGCAATTTCTTTGTTCGATCACTTGAGAAGGACCACACACCATGGTAAACCTAAAAATTTGCCAGACATGGTCAAGTAATCCTCGGAAACTATTATCTTTGCAGATCAATCATCAGTTTTGCGTCAAAATTATCATGGATGAGAAAGTCTTTATAGATGTTTTTTCTTAGGCATACACACTTGAAGATCTTTAATTTCGCTTATGGTAGAAGAGCTACTATTTTTTCAGATATTTTTGAAGGAATCAAAGAATCCGTAATATTGACAATTAATTTTTCCAACAATTATCTGGATAAAGGGGTGGAATAAGGTGACCAAATTCGGATCAGATACCAAATGTGGATTAGCAATTTGACGAGTCGCTAATAAGCGACATAAAACACGTCGATGCCTTTCACGATATCGACAATATAGCATAAAGTTGTAAATATATAAAAGAGCAGATGAATTACTTAAAAATGTCGCTTATTAACGACTCATTAAATTGTTGATCCGCATTTGGTCGCCTTAGCCTAACGCTGATAATAGTATCAATATTCATATGCGATACCGACAGAGTGTCTGCGCTTTAATCGTGTGAAGACCTCTTTAAACTGGCACCTGCTCTTGGCGAAATAAGTTTACACTGTCAAGCGCTGCGTTTCGTGAGAAACCTTATCGAGCGTTTCCGTGAGGAACAATGCAATTTTATTTTTCATAGAAGTTTGAGTTTACGAAAGCTCACCGAGTGTGTCCTTAAAAATGCTGTTTGTCTCACCAGCGTTTCACGGTGTCAAATAAAACTGAGCCGATCGTCGGACAAGTATTCACCAAGTGATTCCCTTTCCCCTCCCCCCCCCAAAATGCAGTTGACGTGCGAACAATGCGGTATCGGGAAGGGAGATTTTCATTATCGTGCGCATCGAGCGTGGCAGCGAGCAGCGAGCTTACGATCGAGCCGATCGTTAATACATATTTCGAGGCGATGACCGTGGCGAAACGAAATCGTTCTTCCACAAAACGGGACACTCGAGACCGTTCTTCAATTTCTTCTTCCTCAGGCGGCGCGAGCGGGAGCGATATTCGTGGAATTTATTATATTAACTGTCGTCGCTTCCATCGCGCTTATTCGCCGTCTCGAATTAATAAACCGGTTTCTAATTCGCTTCAATCTTACGCGCACGAGCGGTTCGAAGCGAATCCT